GGGGGATGAGGCGGGCCAGGACGGCTGGAGGAGGAGGAGGAGGAGGAGGAGGAAGGCTGAGTCCCAGTGCAGCAGCCCCTGGCTGGGGTGGGAGAGAGGGGGGGAGCACAGCATTTGGGACCCGGGGTACCCTCGCTGTGCCAGCCCGGACCCCCCGCCGGCTTTGCCTGGGGCCGTGCGGCTGCACCGCGGTCCCTTGGGGCAGGATTTCCACATCACCCGGGGATCCGGAGAGGGGGTGTCCCAAATCAAGGGGATCCTGGGTCCCCCGGGAGCATCCCAGCGCCCAAATCCCAGGATTACCGTAGGTTCCCCGTGCTTGCCGACACCTTGCCTTCGCAGCCCCCTGCCACCTTGCTGATGGGGACGGGACATTTCTGGGGCTCCAAGCCAGCGGGGATATTAATGACAGGCGGTGACAGCGTGCTCTTACAAACACATAAGGAGCTGCTGGGCTTCAGAGGATCTTGGGGTTGGTTTTTTTTTGGAGTATGACCCCTTTCTCCCCCCAGATGCCTGGAGGGGTGTGTGGAGAGGATCAGCTGCATCTAAAAATGCCAAAGAAACCCACCCTTGAAACATTTTTAGGTGGTTTTATCTCTTTGCGACTTTAAAACTGTTCAAAACTTGGTGGATGCTGATGAAGTGTTGCGTTTGAGGGCTTTCGCTGCAGGCGGTGCGCAGGGCGCTCCTCTCCTGCTGGTGGGGAGCAGCGGATCCCCCCGGGATCCTGCCAGCACGGGGAGATGCTGCAGCATTTGAGGTGCTGGAATGTGTTTGGAAAGGCAGTGGGGAGTCTGTCCGTGCCCCATATTTTCGCTGCTGGGACATTTCTGGCTCGGCGGCACCGCTGAATCAAGGGGTGCCCTTCTTGGGGTCCCTTCCCCAGCTCGGCCCCCAGAGCCGGGGGTCTCCAGGCCTCCGGTGGGAGCAACTTGCTGAGGTTAAAAAGCCTCAGAAACGGGAGAGGGGCTGAAGGGCGCCGAGGGAAGGGGAGAGAGGAGTTTGGAGCAAACTGCGGGAAATTGCTTTTCTTTTGTCTGCTGCGGCGGGGAGGGCAGCGGAGCGGAAAAGTGTATTTTGTTGATTTGAAACTTGAGTGAAATGGGTAATGAAGACAGATCAATACCAGCCCTTCTGCGTTCCCTCTCCAGGAAAAAAAAAAAAAAAAAAGTACAGCAGCCCGTCCGTCTTGGCTCGCGCGGCGCTAGATTTTTCCATTTGAACTCGCGGCACCGCCGTCCATCCCCGCTCCCCCCCGCACCGCTCCCCCTCCTCCTTCGGAAGGGGCTGCCAGGCCAGCGAGCGCTCCCACGCGCCGTCGCCTCTGCCGCGAGCATCCCCCCAGCCTTTCATCCCCTTTCAACTTTCAGCGACTCGCAGCCCAATTACGTGCGATTAGTGCCTCCCCGGCGGGGCGCGCTGCGCTAACGAGGATGCACGTCGGGTTGAACACGCAGGGGATTGATTCCTCCTTTTCTTTGCGCGCAGCGGAACACGGGAGGGACGGTTGTCCTCCACGCACGTACGCCGGCGCCTGCTCGCCACGTGCTGCTGCCTTCCTCCTGCCACCACCGCCCGGGGCAGTTACTCCTTTGGCGCTAAAGCTGTTCAAAGATTTCATAAAATAACCCCACAGCCTCAAAACCCAGCCTGGCACGCGGAGCTGGAGCTCCATTGCAAAACCGGGCTCGGTTTCTCCTCGAACCCTGGGTAGATTGTGGTCCATCGTCTCTGTCCCATCTTGGTATGGTCCAGATGCAGCATGGTGGGAGCGGAGCGGGGGTCGGAGCAGTGTTTGGGTGGCCCTGTGCCACCCGTCAAGGTGTATATATAACCGTGGCTGGGGTTACACCAATGCGAGTGGCATCACCGCCTGGTCCCGGGCGTTTGAAGCTCTTGCAGACGGTAGGAACCAGCTGGATGCCGGAGCTCGCCCGGGGATGCTGAGCGCGGGATGGGACGCGGGGATGTGCCTACACGTTTTGGCTGGACTCGAAGCGAAAGGTTTGAACTGCTCCAGCTGCAGCAGTGAGAAGTGGGTGCTCAGGGAGGGGGTTGCTCATCCCCCGCCCCTAAAAACAGC